ACCACCAATACACCGCCGTCCGAGTCGGAGGCCGCACCACGCGGGGCATCGCTACGTCACAAATGTGCGTGACCGCTTCGTGGAGCCACCGCGACTCGGACTCTACCGCCGTCACGTCCGGTGCTGGGTTCCAGCCGGCGACCAGAGACGCCTCGATCGCCGCCTCCCTGTCCAGCTTCTTCAGTGCCCACCTCGGGCCAGTCTCCGATACGACACGCCCGGGACCGGAACCGCCCGAGAGGGGGGAGACGTCAAACCGGATATACCGGTGATCCGACAACGTCTCCACTCCCTCCAGGACTTCCCAATCCCGGACGCCTCGTGCCAGGTCCGCGCTAGCGAAGGACACGTCCACAATTGAGCCCCCCTGCATCCGCACGCATGTGTTCGTGTCCCCCACGTTCAGGACGACCAGCCCGTTCGAGGCGAGCCATTCCTCCACCAACTCTCCCCTCGCATCCGTGGCGCGGCACCCCCATACCGTGGACTTGGCGTTCAGATCGCCCGCCACGACGATCTGGTATGGGCGGCACCAGGCCAGGACCGAGTCCATCTCCCCGAGGAACGACTCGAACTCGGATAGTGGCCGGTTCGGCGAGAAATACGCCCCGACCACCATCACTTCGCCGCACAGGGCCGCGACGACTCCTCGACCTTTACGCGACTTTCTTATTGCGGCGCCGTTAGACACCGCAATTGCCGCCAGGTCGTCTTCGTCGCCCACCCAGTTGTTCCTCGTGGGAACAAGGTAGGGCTCCGTCACCACCGTTATGTTAATCGACCACTGCGCCATGCTCTGGATCAATAAATCCTGAGCTCTGGCGCAGTGGTTGATGTTGGCTTGCAAGTATTTGGTAGCCCTACTCGTCATTGTGTGTTGTTAAATTCTCCGTCTCCATCGCTTCTACACCGCTCGGTGGTGTTTGTGCCTGTTGCGGGCCGGCGCTGCTCGCAACAAACACCCTCCTGACCATCCTTTTCTTGGGGGCCGAGCATGACTTGCTCCCCAAGCGATGGCTTGCTGCCTTCCCAGCCTCCGCACAGAGTGTGCAGTGAGGGGCAGCATTACAGTCAGCGGCGCGGTGTCCCATCTGGCCGCACCGGTAGCACTGAAGCCCCCGGTCGACCACCGCAGTACACCGCGCCTTGACGTGGCCAGAGTGAAGGCACTTGAAGCACCTAAGCTCCCTGCGTTCAAGGAGCTTCACTCTGGCCGATACCCAGCCTACGAGCAGCTTGCCCTCAACTACCCTTTTGGCAGCTTCGACAGGGCATGCCACCCAGACCGCGAAGAGGCCGGACCTCTCTTGCCGGAGCGGTCCCACCTTTACGCGGTCTACCGCGCAACCACCTTTGGCACCGACCGCTTCTGCCACTTCTTCTTTGGTGACGGAGTCATCCAACCCCGCCACCAACAGTTCCGCCGTTTTTGTTGGTCGGGAGACGGTGACATCGCCGCCGTTCCCGAAAACCTCGCGGAGCCTGTCGGCGAGGAGGTCCGCCTTTGGCGCGTTATCGGCACCGGAGACCTCAATAATTGAGGCCCCAGTCGCTGCGCGCCTGAAGCGGACGCTCTCGATCTCCAGGTCTTTGAGGTTCACCCTTTGTCTCGCCTCAGCCAGCACTTTGGCGTACGTAACCCCCTTCTCCACAGCCGTGGGGTGTAGAGTCACCACGACTGCCGAGGTTTTGGGGGCCCGCAGCTTAGGCGCAGGCTTGGCCTTCTCCCGCTCCTTGGGCATGGGCGCCGATCTGATGACCGCCGGCGCCTTTTCCCTCAGGCCCCTCTTCACGACCGACGCCATGGTCTCCTTCATGGATGCTGGCGCCGGCGGGAGGGGACGTTCCGTCTCCTGTTTTTTGGCCGTCTTCTTCTTGGCCTTCTTCTTAGCCTTTTTGCCCGATTGGGCGGCTGGGGCTGTGGAAGAAGAAGAAGAAGCGGCCGGCGTCGATGTCGAGGTCGACGCCTTCGCCTTTCCCTTTGCGCCGACCTTGATCCAGCCCGACTGGACCGGTTCAGGGAGGCGCACTTCAGGCAATTCCGCCTGGGTCGTAGCCGGTGTTTGGCGTGGGCGGCTTGCCGGGGGTTTCCTCCTGGCTTCCGCCTCACGCCTGTCGTGAGCCAGTGCCGGTCGCAAGCGAGGCTC